GTGTCATATTGGACCTTTAATGACCTGCATAATTCTAATTACATTTTGGGCTCTTGGCTGCTTTGGGTCTGAGGCACATGTTTCCACTGGTGGATGATCTAAGTAGTAGTAGTTAACTGGAGGCTTGTCTGTTTAATGAGCTTGTATTACACAGTGCCAGCGTGGCTTCACTCTTGATGAATGTGTGTTTTTGAGCTTGTGGTCTAAGACGGGGTCGTGTAGGGGACACAGACTGGCTCTAAGGCCCAGTGACGACCCGAGCATGTGCCAGTGAAGTGGAACATCTCCGCAGCACTGTCTGGAAGCATCAAGTTTGGTTCACGTGCACAGACATCAGTTTGTTTTTGTGTGTGTTTTTTGTGCTTTGTAGTTTCAGAGGCAGTTATGTGTGCAGCTATGGATATATTTAGTTTTACACTTTTTGGAATCAATTTTAATCTGCTAGTTACAGCAAAAAAAAAAAAAAAAAAAAAATGAGAATCGCAACAGTCAGTGTAATGCTAATATATGTTATTAATAATATTTGATTTAAATAGAACTTCCTGGACATTCAAAGACACTTACAGAGCATTATTCATGCACTGCACACTCTGGTCTTTAAATATTATTGTAGCCACAGCTGCCCTTGGGTAGACTCAAGGGAGTGAGGCTGCCAGTCTGCACCATCAGCCCCTCCAGCCACCAGCACCCACTCACGCAACACTTTCACAGTGGGCAAGGTGGGTTTTACATCCAAGTACTAACAGACCCACTCCCACTTAACCCGGGCACACACTGACCAATTTTTGGCCCTTTTTGAGACGATTTTTCACTCGTGCGACTGTTTTTGGGATCGGGCCGACTTTTGGCTTAATCATGTGTCGTGCTTCACGTAGTATACATGTGGTAAAAAGAAGTAATTAATGCCTCATGACCAGCTCCCGATCGGCAGTCATAGGTCACAAGAATAACAAACCTTTTTGAAATCCAGTCGCCTCTTATGAGGGTTTTGCACCGAGCATCAGATCTTATAGTGTGAGAACATGAAGTGTGAACTGTGAACTTTTAAACCCTGAGATTTGGTTGTACAGTTTGAGCTGGGGCTGAGTGAAATGATCGAAAATATTGCACAGTGTATCTCCGACATTTGATTCAGAGGTCAGACTAGATTCTCAAGGTGATATTACCATTCAGTCCTCTTATGAACAGACACCATTTTGCTCCTGTCTGGAAACCATTCATCATCTGATGAGTGCTACTCGTTTTCTGGATCCATTTGAGTCTTCTCATCGTTGCATTGTGATAATTGCAGTTTATAAAAATATTGTCCTGGTTTGTCAAGAACTTGCTGGAGGAAATCCACCTGCAGGTCCTCTAGAGCATGATGTAAAAACATCATTCATCACATGTCAGTGTATATATAAATGCTTGATGTGTCCCTTGGCACATATTTACCAGGGGGCGAGTGTCCCCAGATGACCTCGTGTGTCCAGGGTCACACACGCCTCCACACACACAGTATACAATGAGCTCCGTGCTCTTACATAATGTGCTTGTCTGAAGTGTCCATACAAACAGGAGGAGATGTGAAGTGTTTGTGGCAGGCCAGTGTCAGCATTGTCTCTGCTGCTCAACAGGATTACATAAGAACCAATCAGAGGGACACAGATTTCCATGTGAAATGTTTGTAATGTATCAGATTACACGAGTTGTGGAGATGTTAGAGTCTGGACTAACCCAGACACAGAACAAGAAGCATTCACTCAGAGTGGGTAACCTAAATACTCCCCGCCCGCCAACATAAGCCTGGACAAACCTATGCACATAATCAATCTTGTCCACAAACTCACAAGAATCCATCTACTAACAGTTATGCAGCTAATTTGGAGCAGAGTTCCATACATGGAATTCCGAGCATGTGTACAATAGCAACCAAAGAGCCAATCAGAAGCAAGGTGCTCTCAATCAAACCTGTTGCTAACACGAGCTGGAGCTGACCTTGGGGAAAGAACGCACCTGATAAGTCTGTAATTAATGTTCATATCATACAGTATATGACAAACTAACAAACTATTAAAATAAAAACAACACGCACCACTAGCAGGAGAGCGTCTACAGTCTGTGGCTGTCACACTTTGCCCCAGTCATCTTAAAGTGTTTGTCTGAAAGTTGCATCTTTTGAACCAATGAATAGTAATTCATTGCAAGTCAATTAGATGAATTGATCCTGTAATACCAATAATGTGAGTCTAACCAACATGCTGTGTAAGGGCAGACAGCCTAGGAGACCCAGTGTGGTGTAGGATTTTGACCCCGTGGTGAGGTGACCCCGGGGTCAACATACCATATAGTATTTTGACCCTGGGGTCAGAATCCTACTATGGTATGTTGACCCCCCCTGTAGAATATTAACCCCCCTATGAAAATCTATATTTTATTAATAAAGAACTTGAATTCTATAGAAAAACTTTGAACATTAATACTATATCTGCAAATTAAAACATATTGACATTTTTAAAAGTGTTTTTTGAAGAACGCAGATGCATTTTTTATGTTTTTGAATGTTAAAAATGACTTAGTTGTTTAAACACATATTTTAGTGAAAATAAGATAAGTAGTTATTAATGAGTTAGGTAATCAAAGTGATGTCTAATGATTTGGAATCTTGTTCAAATAGACAGGACTGATCAATTGAATAGTTAAATAGAGGAAACCTATGACTATAATAATCTGACCCCCAATATGTTTATTATAACACAACATGACTAAATTCAAGGTTGTTATTCTTACAAACCATTGCCTAAATTGACATTATGATTCAGGATTATCTGAACAGAGCAAACTAAAAACCATAACAATGTAAAATACAATATAAAAAGTGACAAGATTGCTATGTATATGCAGTTTTAACAATACGTTACATTTACACAAACTACCAAGTCGTTCTCCATCAAAACATTCCTCAAAATTAAAAAAAAAAAAAAGAAAGTGAATATGTAGTAATATATAATAAAAGTAAATGACATGAGAAATAATGATCAGATAAGTAACTACTAAAGAATAAAGTAAGGGGAGTCAAAATCCTAAGGGGGGTCACTTTACTATAGCGCTATGTTCACCCCAGGGTCAAAATCCTATCTCAAACCGGGACCATTGGCACCCAGACAGACTAGAAAGTTGCACCTTTTCCAAGTTCTTCCAGTGTTTGAGATACCAGATTAGACCGATTACATGTCAGTGTGTCTTGTGCAGCTTCGTCGGTGTTGAATGATGCAGTGATAAGAGCAGTGTGAGGAGATTTGCTGTTCACAGGTGTAACATTTAGCTGTTAGCAGACAAGCACTGTCGGGTCACTCACATAACCCAGTGCTGTACTCCTCTGGCAACATGTGCGCCTGTGTCACTATGAACCACCGACAAGGACTTCTCACACCCTCCCACCAAACCACTTTTCACTCCTCCAAGTCACCCCTGGATGTGTTGTTATTTGGAGGAGAGCTGGGTGCTGGTGATGACATGGACGGGTGATGGTTGATGGGTGACCCTGCCTATGGTTTGTTTGTGAGCTTGTCCTTGTAAACGCGACAGTATCCCCCTCCCTCCCTCACCCCACCTCCACTCCTGTGTGTGTTTGTGTGTGTGTGTGTGTGTGTGTGTGTGTGGGCGCGCTCCTGTCTGCTCTCCTCACGTCACTCGGTGGACACTGCTAGAACTAAACTGCACCAGTGTTTGTTTGTTTTTTCAGTCTCCTGTGTTTTTTTTCTTTATTCCTCGTAAGCAGCCGCATTCGTTTTGGTTTGGCTGGACCGTGCATGTTTCTAATTGGCTAATCCACCTGTCAATCATCTCCATCTGAACTGAGCAGAGCAGACAGCAACTTTGTAAAATATCGGAGAAGTGCGTACGATGTATCCCAGATAAACAACATTTTACTAACTCAATTTTCATACTAAGGAAAAGACTCAATACCTTATGACAAAAATCATGATTATAGGAAGAAAATTTCAACACATCATAATATTAAAATTTGCTCTTTTAATATTACTTACTGTGGTCTTATATTATAGATCAAGACCATTCGGAAAAAAATCTGGAAAAACATCAAATTTTTGTGCTTTTTAATTTGTTTTTAAGTATCAGTACTTGTCCAGTGAGTATTTTGTTTTGATTAGTTTTGGAAAAATTTACAATATTTGATCATTTTCAGTGGGAGACATTTTGAATCACTGGTTGTTTTCAAAATGTCCAAAGCTTCATAATTGATCTTTTTCTTGATTTGTTGAGAGTAGGTCTGTGGTTTGTAATAGTGACTTAATTGATCATGAAATACCAATAACGTGAGTATAACCAAAACACTGTGCAGGGCGAGACAGGCAAGGAGACCCGGGACCGTTGGCATCCAGACAGACTAGACGTCATAGTGGACCAGACTGCTGCCTCAGACTGGAGAGAGAGAGAGAGAGAGAGAGAGGGACAGTCTATGTGTGTGTGTGTGTGTTTTTATGTGTGCGTTTGTGTGTGTGAGATTGAGCAAGTGACAGAGAGAGATAGGGAAAGAGAGAGGGAGACATGGGGTTCTTTGAGTTCTCCGAGTGAGGCTTGCACACGGGAGACAGACACTGCACTCAGCTGATGGGGACCTGACTTTTAGAAGGTAGGGACAAACCAGAAAAATATCCAAAGTGGAATTTTTCTGATGTGTGTTGTGATTTAAATTAGATTTTTTAGGACAGAAATGATAATTAGTAATTATGTCATATAAATACTGGACAACTTGCCCAAAAAACTGCAGTAAAAATGAATGAACATGTTGTATCTGAGAAACATCAAAGATCTGGACTATTCCAAATGGTACTTAAAAATGTGTAGCTTTTGCTTTGATTTGTGATGAATGGAGATGTTTTCAGTCTCGTTGAAAGGTGAGACACTGCTGTTTCTTTTGTCACTTTTAGTCTCTCTTATCTCTTAACTCAGTCACTAGCTCCAGCTCAGTGTGTCATTGAGTGCTTTGTGTTCCACAGGTTTGAAGCTGGCAGCGTCACACTCAGAGCCACAGGGAGAGGTGCGGCTGCCTTCTCTGGACCAGGCCTTCAACATCGACCTGTTAGCAGGTAAACTATCGTCCACCAGACATAACACCAGAGAGGGAACAAGGAACAACAAAGAGATTCAAAACAGGGATAGTTTACCAAGAACAAAGTCTTTTCTCTCAACTTGTGCTCTTACTCTCACACATACCGCTGTCAGAAGGTCTGCTGTGTCTCCAGCTCAGTCTCCAGAGGTGTTGCATTGTTTGCACCTGTATGTGGTCTGTGTTTTTCACATGAGCAGGTTCACCCTGAGCTCATGAGGGTCTGGAGAACACATGAAAACATTCTGCTGCTGTATCATCATTCAGCATTAGTTTGGAGTGATGGTCTGGTTCCAAGGAGGGAGGGAACTCAGACTTTCTCAGTGTAGCCTCTGCAATTGCTGACCTAAATCATGCTTGGTTAGTTAAAGCTCCTGTGTGGAGACCAGTGCTCACAGTGTCTCTACATTCTCAGTGAACCTCAGTGCTACACTGAGCACTGAGGTTCACCTTTTCCTCCTTGTGGGTCAGAGGTCAACAGATCCCAACAACCAGTAAACCACCAGAAACCCTGTCTTTTACTTCTCAATGAAGCTGCACTATTATGACCAAACAAAACTTTCAATAATAATAATGTCATATTTATTTCCTACTAGGAGTCAGTAGCTCAGCAGGAGGGGTACTTGGAAACTAAAAAGAAAGTGCTAAAAAGATTGTCATCTTAATGGCAGTTTGTTTAAAACATGTTCTACAGCCTTAAAGGTTTGAAACAACAATCAGGGGAGCCCATGGTCCGGATTAGCAGCCTCCCTTCAGACAGTCCACCCCAAAGCCGCTGTGGCTACAGTAGTAGCTTATCACCAAGAGTGGAGTGAATGAATAATGTACAAAAAAGTGACTTTAAGCTTTAACTGTGATTATGCATAATAGTAAAAGTCCTTTAGTTTCATCAGAGAACGAGTGAAAGGAACAGTGCTGAGTTCAGAGAAGCAAACATGTCTTCTGAATATTTCAACACACCAATACTCCAAAGCACAGTGGATACTTTAATGGTTTGTCTCTATTTCTGTCCCTGCTCCTTGTTGTTGGCCCGTTCCTCTTTGAATTATGAATACCTCGCCACTACAACCTTCTCCACCTCCTCCTCCTCTCCCTCCCCTCCTGCCCCACTCCTCCTCTCTGACCCCTCTCAGTCTCCATGGCCGGTCAGCCACACCCCCAGGGTCTCCTCAGCGGCTCTGCCCACACGCTGGAGCCTGGGCGGGCTGCAGCGTTCTCAGGTACAGCCTTGACCTCCACACATGCATTTGTTTCATGGGCTTAGTGGAGTTTTCATTCTGACGATGTGTGCGTCTCTGAATGTATACACTAATGAGTCATGTCATGTAGGGGTCACTGTTCATCACTGCAGGCTCCTATACTGTCTCTGACCTATAGCACATTTCAAACCCTACGTCTGATTGTATTTGTCTGGGATTCAGAACAAACACTTCCTACTTTACAAAGATGTGAGTCTGGGCTCTGTTGAATCTCCCCAAGTTTAGATGGATATGAATGGCAGGTGAATTAGCCAATCAGGAACACACATGGTCCATCTGTATCAAAACAAATATGTCTGTCTGGTGGGGGATCATTCCCATTCCCATTCTGGAACTGTCCTAAACTGGCAACATTTTGGAAAGATGTGCAATGTGAAACTGAAAACTGTTTAGGGTTCAAAATTATCTCAGAGGAGTGAAAAACATTGGAGATTAGAGCAGAATAAATGAGTGAAAGACTAAACTCTGTTCATCATCATCAGGAGAGAGAAATGTGGTTTTGTTTAAAATAATGGGAGAACAATGAGCTTCTTTGTTTCACATGTGTCACTGAATGAAACAAATCTGATTGGTTGAAAATGTTTGGTTCTGGCTGGAGGTGCATCGGAGAGAGTGGTGCCCAGACTGATATCCCTCTGTATAAAAACTACATCAGTCTGGATTTAACAAGCAAATATTACATCATTTTAAAGTTTTGTCAAGATCTATTGTCAGACCCTAACATTAAGTCAATACAGAAGTGGATTTCTTGATGTTTGTCACGTCATCTCTTTAGTCGACTTATTGATTGGCAGGACATGTCTTCAGTCAGTCACTTGAAATGTCTCAAAGTCTCAAACTTGGTCCTGATGTGGTCGTGTTTTATGGTATTTATATTCTATGGGTCTAATTCAGGTCTAGTCCCAACTTTAGTCCGGGTTTTGATGTGTTTGTGTGTGAAGTGTTTAGGGCTGGGTATCATTAAGAAGTTACCGATACGATACATACCTTGATACTAGGGATGGGCATTTGATCAAATTTTCTTAATCGATCGTCGGAAGAATTAACGATTATCGATTAATCATTAACGTTTTTATATTAAAATGATCATCATTATTATTACTATCTGCACTACTAATCTGCATAAATAAATTCAACTTTACGACATATAAACCGTAACGACTCTAGAGCCACATCAGCCCGTTTGACATTATAATGTGTTTAATTCAGTTTTGTTCAACTCTCACAGAAACAAAACTTAAAACCGCATCGCTAATTTGCATAAACTCAGCGAAGATAAAACTACAGCTCTTGTGTCGCTGATGCGGTCAATTTCTGTCGGATTAAAAGACATGACTCAGGTGAATACAGGTTAGTGTGACCATATTTGCGTTTGTCAAAACCAGGACACTGTACGGGGGGAGGGGGGCGGGGCCTCGTCATCCACATTGAGCGACTCTCACCTGACAAAACTTTTTCCCACTGGACACAGAAACATATGTGCTGCTTTGTACACTGTGCACATGGACTCACACTTGTCCCAACGCAACGGAAAGCGTGGAATTTCTTGTACAAATCATCGTTAAATACACATTTATGCTTCGGTACGCTGCAGACTGACGGACTGTTTGTGTCTCGCTCCTTCTGAGTGCAGAGAGACACATGTACAGACCTGTTTGGTGACGCTACACACAGCAACCTACATTCGATTTGTCGAATAAAATGTACGTAATCGATGAAATGATAATGAAATGATAATGATCAATTATCGATTAATCGACTAATCATGCCCATCCCTACTTGATACGTAGGCCACGGTACGATATATATCTCAATACAGTGAGCTTTTGATTTGATACGATATATTTCAGTTCGATTCGGTTCAATAAAAAGTAAAGGCTAAATCATGTCTGTGACACTAAAAGTCTTTGTGTTTCATATGAATTTTGCACAAGATGTGATTTAACAAATATTTTAGTCCTAAAAAACTGTGAAAATGTCAAATGTGTCTCTTAAACAAGTTTTTTGTCACCTAACAAGCAACACTGTAGCGCTATAACAAAATAATTTAGTAAAATATACCAAAAATAGACTTGGCAATATATCCATACAGCAGCCCATGATATCAATACTTTTTCATCACATTAGACGATACGATATATTGATATTTTGATATTTTTGCACACCCCTAGAAGTGTGTGTCCTCACCTTTGAGTCTTCATTGACCCTGGGGTGACCTGACAGGAGTAGTGGGTGACTACACTCAGGATCTTGTGCCTGGTCAGGTGGAGGACTAACCTACTGTGTCTGTGTTAAGTTGATGGGAGAACAGGTACAGGGAGAAGGCTGCGAGGCCTGGGCGGGTCTCAGTGTGGTTGAATTGTAATTTTGTGTAAAATGTGTTGATGTCCTTCTCTGAGATGGGCACAGTAGCTATTCTTGTTTAAATCTATAAAAAATAGATGCATTGAAAATCCAATTTTGTTCCAGTCCATTATCCTGCATCCCACATCACAAAATCCACATTCTACTCAATTTGTCCTCATCTACATTTACACATAACACCACAGGACTGGAACATGAATTAACACAAATATCTGTGTATTCACTCATAGGGCTGGTATCATTAAGAAGCTGCTGATAGGATACATATCTCAATACAGCGTACTTCCGGTTTGATACGATACATTTCAAAACGATTCAGTATGGTTCAATAAAAAAATAAAGGCTAAATCATGTCTGTGATACTAAAAGTCTTTGTTAAACCACTTCTTGTGCAAGGTTAATATGAAACATGCCCATTGTAATCTTCAAAACAGTGAAAATGTCAAATGTGTCACATAAAAAAGTTTCCTTCCTCTGAACAAACAACAAAACTGTAGCTGTAACAAAATAATTTAGTAAAATATGATATATTGATAGAGCAGTCCCCAATATTACTGTGATACTGTACCATCACATAAACTACATGATATATCTTTTTTTGATATGTTTGCACACACCTTTTCACTCATTTCTCCAGGAAATCAAAGATAGGAAAGGTAGAAAAGATGGTCACATTGGTCACTGTTGTATTAAATACTCTACCAGTCAAAAGTTTTAGAACACCATACTTTTCACAATTTTTTTTTACTGTTTACTGTTGACCAAAACTCCTGACTCGTTCTTTTTACAATAGAAATCAAATATTGTTCAGAAAGTTCTTCCCAAGTCTGTCGCAGAAGTTTCCATAAATGTGTGGCACTTGTCGGTTGCTTCACTCTTCTGTCCAGTTCATCCCAAACCAGCTCCATGAGGTTTAAGTCTGGACACTGTGCTGCTGGACACTCCAGGTTTTAAGCTTTACCATCTTGTTCTTTTTTCCTGAGGTAGTTTTGACAGAGCTTGGACTTGTGTTTTGTATCTTTTAACATTTTTTCTAACCTCTGTCTGTTCAGTTCTTATCTTTGTACCATTTCATACTCTTCATTGGACCTGCATGACTTGAATTGAAATAAAAAAAATTAGGGTGTTCTGAAACTTTTGACCAGTAGTGTATGTCCCGTCTCAAAAGGGAGCTGTTGTGAAACCGCCCTGGCTAGCTCTTTATTCGTTGTGGCACTAGTGTGTCTTGAGGTATTGCTATGTGCCTAGAAGAAAAGTCCAACTTCAGTTAAATTGACATAGGCTTTTATTTGAATCATTTCTTGTGCCTTGAGGAACTTCAGATCCTGTTGAAAAGTCAAAACAATCATTGAATTGAAAGAACTGTACTAAGGGAAAATGAAAACTCTGGACCCTTTTTGTTTTTAATTTTGTAATGTTCTAGTGCAGGGGTCATCAAACTAAGGTGTACGGGCCAAGTCCGGCTCTCCACACCCCTCTGACCGGCCCACCAGCCCCTTTCCCCCCAACACCTGCACTGGCCGTTTGAGACACTCCTTAAAAGTTGTCATGACCTCTTTTTTTTTTTTTTTTTTTTTTTTTTTTTAACATTTTGGCAAATAATAACACATCTGCATCTTGTATTTTGTAGATTTTTTCAATTTAAAAAATTATATTTATATGAAGTATTTATATTTATATCATTATATGACATATTTACATGTGCCGCCAAATTGTCATTACCTGACAAGCTCGAGATCAAACAGTGACAGTCAACACACGCACAGAGTAAAAAGTTGGCTAGTGTTAAAGTACAAAAACATATATAACAAAAGTGTGGAGGTTTTCAAAGAATATAATCTGCGTCGTCAGAGTCATACAATTCTGTTATACGGCCAACCCGACCCCGGTCCCCATCACAGTCCGGAGCCATAATGTGGGCCCTAGAGAAAAAGGTTTGCTGACTCCTGTTCTCGTGAGTGGTGTACCTTGGAATTTTTGTAAAGAGGAGATAAAAATGTACCTTTTTGAAGCTTTATATCATGTTAGAATGTTCCCTCAGCAAAACCATGTCTGAAGAAGGTTTATATGTCACCCATGTCACCCTCTCGGGACCTATTCAAACCCTCCTCACTGTTAATTGTAAGATTCTGTCTTACAACCCCACAAGCTTACGTGACCCATGCTCCCACACCACAATTGTGCATAAATATGAAAAAACATGATACAATACATTACAACTTCACAAACCTGATACAGTGTGCAGTAGTTTAGTTACTGGGATGAATGCTGATTGTGTTATGATAGCGCTCTGAAGGGGGAGCAAGGGAAGTGGTGGACTCAGAGCTACCAAAACGAAAATGTAACTTACTGATCATTTTAATGCCGTTGTTTTCTGCGAATAGCATTAAAAGGTGCTCAAAATATGATATGTTTTAATGTGTAATGCCACCTCCTTAACCTTAAACCTTCCTCATCACAAACAGACCTGAAGTTGTATTTGTTTCATTCAAACTTTTAACACACAAACACAAAGAGGAAACACTCTGTTCCACCTTGTTTTATGTGGCAATACAGGAAGTGCTGTTTTTTACACTGTTTTTAAACTCCATTCACCTTCATTTTCTGTAATATAGGACCTTTAAACATATGCTGTGACTCAGACAAGGTTGAAAAACACTGCTTTAAGCCAACCAAAATGTTAGGTTATGTTACCATCTGCCAGCTGTTTACAGGAGCCCAAATGTCTAGACTTTAAAAACAATGTCTCAGTGACCTTTACGACCTTCAACTCAAATGCGCATCAGCCTTGATTCTTTTGACGCTGTATCTCCTCCTCTTCCTCCTCCGCAGACTTCTCCCAGCCAGCGGATGTCAGCGCAGCGCCCCTGTCTGGTGAGAAGCCCCCCAGTGTAGCAGAGGCTCAGCTGTCCACCCCCCAGTCAGCCTCAGATGTGCCCAAAGACCACAGCCCCATGCTCCCAGAGCCCCAGCCTCCACGCAGCCCCATGGACCTACCCCCAGGTAAACCCTCCTCCTCCTCATGAGACAGGAATAGTCAGAGTATCAGACATTTTTTTTGCCTAATCATTGTGCAAACATACAGCAACATCCACTAAGAAGTCAAGATCATTAGTTAATTTATATATATAAAAAAAATAATATTTCCTTCTATATTTTTATATGAATCGGCTATGAAAAATATTCTGTACTCTACTTTAGATATTGGGTCAAACTTAGGATGTACACTATAGAGGTGCTAATGTAGAATTGAATATGCTGGATTTTTTCATATAAGGGTATCATAAATAGTAAATTGTGCTGATACATTAGTTTTATGCCCCATTCTCTGCGTGTCCATGTGATATTCGATATTGTCCTCAGTGTACGGAGTAGATCTGATGTTTGTCTTGCAGTTATGGCCGATAACCAATATTTGCAGATACCAATAGTGAAGTGACGTTCAAACAAAAAAAAAATTACCTTTTTAAAAAACACATTGTATTTATGTGGGATATAAATTCATATTTTGACTCATTTAGTCTTCTCAAAAAGGCATTGAGGACAAAGTGGGACTGACACATGAGCACACAGAGAATGGAGCAGTTGCAATATCGGACCGATACCGATATCTGTTGAAATCCTCTAATAACACTGATAGCCAAGTATTAATATACCATCCCTACTTTACAACAATCAAGTGGACCATGCTGTGCTATGACTAGTCCACTATAAACCAGAACAGTAGCTGTATTTTGTCATCATTATCTGGAATATACACACTCTAAAACACGTATAAAAAGATTTTTATAATAAGAACAGTAGAATTATTAAATCAGAATGTCTAAAAAAAATTTACTATTTCTGATATTTAGCATATTTCACTTTATTCATTGTTGTCTTTATCTGGAAGCCTTCAGTCAGTATATGTTAACCTTTGTTTGGTTGATAACAATGTATTAAAAAAAAAAAATAATGCATAGTAGAAATATTTATTAGTCAACTTATTGAAAAATAAATTACTAAATGAGCATTAGTTGCATCCCTTTAAGCCCCAACCAAAGAGAGTTCTTGGATATCAGTAGTCGCAAAAAAATGTAATACTGGACCAGCCCTACAAAATACTCAACAACTACTATTAAAAAGTGCATGCATGACAATAGAGTTTCTCCAGAGTTCCTGTATGAGTGGAATAGCCCTCCTCTGGCTAACTGTTGCGTGTTTTTCTATAGTGGCCTCTCAGTCCAAGGTCAGTGCTCTGCTGATGCTCACATGTACAGGGCACTCGTCCTGTGTGTTTATTTATCCCACAGTGAGGAGCTGTCTCTCCCATGTCCTCTCTCCTCTCTGACCACGGGCCTTTGTGCAGTCTGGTGCACATGAGGTCCTATAGGGAGCATTCAAGTGTCCACAAGAGGAGTTCCAACTGTGAGGGCAGCGGGAAAGGACAACACAACACTAGACAGCATTGACTTTTTCTGAAACATACAGAGAGCAGCAAAGTACAGTGTGCTATATTTATCAACAGTCTCATTGTATATGGGCATTTTTATTGCAAATTCTGCAATGAAAATTATAATTGGCATCACCTACTTCCTTTAGACACTGAGTTACATAATATATGGTAAAAAATGAACTGCCAAAGCACTGAATTGCACAATTATAGAACATTTACATTTGTATATCCAAGGTCCAGTCAGTCAGTTTACTTTTAATTATTTACTAGTCTAATTTCATTAGAAATCGCATGGTTATCAGTCTGTTCCTATGACAAAAAACAATCAGACACACTGATGCTGCCTTGTTTATTTGTATAGTGTAAATGTGATGTGAAAACACAAGGTAATGTTACTTGTGGTTTTGTGTGCCTGTACACACTATGATGGCCATTCTGTGACCTCTCTCATATTAATAATCCATTTTGCTTCTTTGGCCAGTGTCTTTTTCTAGCCCAATTCCAGCACTTGCAGCACAGAGCCGATTCTGTCATGGTTGTGTTAATAAGAAGAATGGTCCTCTGGAGGACCAGAGCACTGTATACAGGCTGACAGCTGCTCTACTTAAACTCTCCTGCATCGCTCCAAGAGCCTAAAGACACAGCAAAACCAACAGAAACTAGGACAAAGTGGAACACCATGGAACTTTCTGTTCCTTCCCTCCTCTGTTAGGTCCAGTATTGATGAGAAGTGGTTTAATTGAGTCATTAGTTAGGCCAGGGTCACTTGGACAATCACTGACCTTTTGTCTATAGGGTCATTAGTTTACAGTTGGTCATTATGTGTCCATGGAGACAGCACCTCCTAATACTTTACTGTAGTGTATCTTTTTTTTTTCTTCCAATATTGACTTCTTCAGAAGAATCATCAGGAAATGATCATGGATATATTACTATAAGGGTTGTTCCAATACCGATATTGGCTCCAATATTGGTACCCAATATGTGAAAATTTGTCATTATATACATTATATTTTTAGCATGGCTAATCACACTCTGCCTCCTGCTAATAAAGCGTTACTACCACTGCACACTGTTCATATGGTGTTAGAGGTCATGGTACTTTTAATGAAAGACAGATAATAAAAGTGACAGATGGGGCAGCCAGTTAACCTTCACTTATTGATTTATTTGTTTGACCTTTGTATAAATCCAAATTCAGAATGACATTGCCAGAGGATTATTGTCCCAGAAGGATACTCTGTTTTAGAATTAAACATTACAGATTACAAAAAACAAGCCAACTCCTCTGAGACGGCCCCAACTCTGTCTAGGAAAACATTCTTGCGTGAGAAAAGAGTGCTTAACATTATTCACACTTACCTCCAACTATTGCTCTGTTCAACTATAGGAACACAACAATTTTACTCACTGCTCATTCAGTGATGCTTTGTAATAGGTCCTGTAATCAATGTATAGGACAAAACTGTCACCTCTTTGTCACTTTTTGTTACCAATGACTGAATGACGTGTCAGCTGTCAGTGTAGCTCTGTTTTATATTCCAAACAGTGTAAAAAAACAAAAACAAACTGTTGCTATTATTTTACAATGCTTTACTTAAAACAAAATGTGTCTGTGAATATCTCCTCCACTGAAACTATCCCCTCTCCATCCACAACAAGGTGCAATAGGCGACTCCTGGCCCAACAAAGGCTCGTGCTTGGCCTCAGACCTCCCGTTCACCCCCAGCGTCTCCACGGTGATAAGTCGCCACGCCGGCCATCTCGGAGCCAACCCCGAGGACCAGCCCGACGGGTGGCCAGGCCGGGAGAGCGGAGCTTATGCTGGCGGTGATGAACGAGAAACGGAGGGATTGGACCGAAAGCAGAAGAAAAAGAAGAAAAGACGACAGAAAGATGAAGGAGCGTTCGAGCATGCGGAGAGCAGGGGCCCAGCCGAGGCACAGGTGCAGGGAGAAAGTACACCGGGAGACGACTTCTACAACAGGATTGGTCCGAGGAGGGACAGGGGGGAGGCTGGTTGGGAGGAACAGCTCGGCAAAGGCAGAGGCAAGAAAAGCAAAAGCCGTAAGAAGATTCCAGAAGAGTGGAGCGTCATGGCAGAACCCTTCGTACCATCTTCCGCCGCTACCCCCCAAATTGTCCCAGATGTCATGATGGATCTTGGAAGTTCTGGTGCCGTGGACTCTCCCTTCTCTGACCAACACAACTGGAGACCGGAACCCCCAGCAGAAGAAGATCTCATCCCAACTCCTTTATCACAAGATGTTTTCGCACCAACAATCAATCCCATCAGCCCCTTGGTGCTAAACAGCGAGCTGAAAGCCACCGCTGCCCCATTCACCATGCCCGGCTCCTTCCCAGCGGCCGACCAACCTGATGATTCATTCGACCTCCTGATGGATCTGGAAAACGGCAACCAAACCTTCCCCAATCCGTATTCAGCGGAAGTTCTCGCAGCAGACATGGTGGACAGCGGCATCTTTGACAAAACTACACCCCTCCAAGATTCCCAAGTGATTCCAGATGGAGACACTTCGGCGTTCAGTTCTGCGTCTCAGGCCAGCCCGCCAGCTAAGGATGACGTAGAGGCATCTGCTCCACCACTGTCTCCATCAGACGCTTCGTGGTTCCTCAACGAATCCCAAGTGAGCAGCAGCAATGATATTTTTGAGTTCACTGATAATTCTGGGCACCAGCTGCCCCTCGGCCTCTCCTTCGATACACCAAGTCCAGCTCCTCTGCGGTCCCCGAAAACTACGGCTCAAGAGTCCCAACCCAAAGACACCAAGAAGTCCAGAAAGTCACGGCAGTCATCTTCTTCAAAGAGTCCAACCTCACCAGATGTTATACCTTTTCCAACCGAAGACTCCCAAGCAATCAGCCCCTCTTCACCCCCTGCACCTGGGTCTGCGCTTAACCCATCCGCCAAGCCCTTCTTCCCCAGTTTTGCAGATCCAGTGGTGGACCCTGCGGAGGTCTCGCCAGTCTCTCCCACCGTTGAAGGTTGGTTGGTGTCAGCGCTGGACAGTAGAAGTTCTAGACCTCCCTATCCGCATGATGTTCCAGCGTTTGCTTGTGTAGATCAATGATGTTTGATAACCAGCTTTTAGGCCCAATGTGATTGAAAAAATGTTAGATTAAGTGGTTCTCAAACTGTGGTGCTCAGGAGTCTTTTGGGTTGTTTAGGTTTGGTTTAGGTATCGTTTGGATCTGGTTTACTTCTAGAACAATCTTGGTTTAGACATGATTTAATTTTGTTAGTGTTGGTTCAAATAGGACTGAGCACCATGACACATTTTTTGCTATTGCCTATTATTATGAATTATGTGTAATCTGATCATTACAAGACAGACTTGAAGCCATTTAACACACACAGAAAAGCTCCAACTTCAGACCTGTCTTGATGATTTGTAACAATTGGACCTTGATTTGATTACAATTTGATTCTTTGCCCAGGCATAATATTAAAAACTGACTTAATCTTGGATTCATCGCTGTTCAGTCATAATTGAAACCTGGTTTAGTTCTGGTTTAGTCCTGATAAGTCACAATTTGGGCCTCATTTATTTCATTTAAAGTGATTATTGATGAAAGAGTCTTTGAGCTTGTACCAACAGTTTGAGAATCACTGATGTAGAAGACTAACCACCAAGTTGTTTGTTCCTCGCATGATCACAACAATGACAAATTTCTCTTGTCTTGTAACTAATGCACGGGCCCACGTCCAGCTCTCACTTTGGAATGTTCTCTGTCTAACCCTTTAGTTACAAATCCACACAAAGTTGGACTGATGTTCTCCTGTTTAATCACGTTGTTGATGATGAACACTGGTCACTAACCAAAATCAAAACCGTTCTCTTTCACAGCACTGTCCAATCAAAACTGTCTTTTTTTAACAGTGATAACATTTTCTTGAATCCAAGTGTGGGGTGATCTTTGTACTAATCAGTGTGTGTAATCTCTTGTTGGAATCAGATGATTATAAATGTAATCTGTGATTTTGTCAATTCTGGTCATTTCAAATTCTGACTGGTGTTTTTCTCTTTCTTTGTATGTGCTGATTGCTGCCTGCTGATCTACTTTTAGGTGAGTCATTTTTTTCTGACAATTCATGCTCATTTTTGGTACGATTGTGGAAATTTCAAGGTTGCCCGTAGACTTAAAATGGCAAAATATAAATGGAAAAGGTTTGATCATTTAATTTGTTTGCTTGTTCCAAAAGTTGATTGGAAGATTTGTCTGAAATTAAAAGGCAATTCAGATGAGAATTTTGGGTTTGCATTAGGCCTGATGCAATTCTGTTTACACAAGTTAGTTTTTGTACACCAGAAGATGGTAGGTTTTGATTTAAAGATACAGTATGTAACTTTCTGGAGGTGGCATGTCACCCACTTTATTCCATGGAAATAGAAAGTTAAAACCATACTTTGGAATATTCTCCATGGAGATATGCGTTGAATGAAATACCCTGTGATTAAAATTATATTCAAAGACATTTCCATGGAAAAAAGCATGAGTACACCTTCTTCTAGACCAGTCAGGTTTGCGGAGGTGCAAGCCCTCTCACAGTAAGGGAACATGTTCGACTATTTTCAGTGCAATAAACAAGTAAAATCGGGGGGAAAAAAAACAAAAAAAACATGACTGCCTATAAAGTTGCATACTGAAACTTTATTTGTCAAGTTGTGAATTGTGTGGGTTCTTTTAAGCTTTCAAGTTTTCAATACATCCTTAGCATTGTTCCTATAAAAAGACAGAATCAGTAAAAGTATGTGCAAGCTGTTATTTCAATGTTCTAACCATGACTGGGGTTGAGAGAACTTGTTTTTTTTTCATATGGTGCATCTAAACTTATAGAGTTTGAAAAATCTCAGAATTTCAGTTTGTATTTGTGGCTGTTTTGTGTTGCGCTCTGTGATGTATGCTGTTGTCAGACTAGCTCAGCACGGCTCCATTAGCTCCAGCAGACTGTGAAATGTCCATGTTTACTGCAGCGGGCGAGAGCAGAGGTAAAAATAGCTGAGGCTGAGTTTGATTTGTCACTTCTCGACCAAATGTGTGGTGTAAACGGATGTTCTGTCACAGAGATGTTACATCTGTCCATCTGAAGGCCGATTAAAGCTTGTTAGTGCAACTTTTCAACGTGGCAACTTGGGAGAAAAAATAAAAGGAATATAATAAAGGATGTGCGTGTGAGGAAGTGAGATGTGAGTCTCAGGGCTGCACGATATAATGAAAAATGTGTTAGTCAATAAATATTCAAAGTAAAGTCGAGTTTTATAATTTAGCTAAACAGTTTGTACTAAACTAAATTATGAACTTTCATTTATAAATAACTTTATAAAGAACTTTGCACGGTCCCATAAGAGGATATTCAGTCATTTTGAATGAAGAAGCTGAAACTTACTATATAAAAGATGCAAGGGCAAGATGATGAATAAAGAAAAAAATAAATGAATGAATACAGAAATACAAAAAAAATAAGAGACTACACTGAAACAAATCAGTGTATCACCGTATGACACGTTGTTTCTGTGTCCGCAAGTCTTCCCTATCCACACAGCTTTGAGCATATTTGTTGACGTTTTACAGAAACAAAACTTAAAACCATATGGCTCATTTGCATAAACTGAGTGCTCAAAAAACAGTTTGTTATTGTGCGCTGATGCGGTTCAGCTCAGTGGAATATGAGTGTTCTTTCTGTGACAGAGGGGTGTTCTGCTGATGGTGAATCTGTTCTGTGTTCTGTTGCTTTGAAGATGGTTCATGTGAAACTTTTCAGAGATTAGACGTCTGCAGGTCGTACACACAGACTGTTTATATGAATGGACATATATTCTAGCCTCTTAGTGTTTTGGTGGTGAATTACTTCGCAGAGCATAGAACTACATCAGTGTATCAGTGTTTTCAGGCATCCACATAGTGCTGGATCAGTGGATCAGATCTGTACTCAGATGAATTCGTGGGAGCTGGCGGCACCAGATCGTTCCATCTCTGGAGCTGTTTTCAATCAGCCAGATTAGTGTGGTCGAACACTGCATCCATGAAAACGACTCAAATACGCACTAGTGTGGACGGGGCCTTATTTTGTTTACTTGTTCACTGCCGTTCTTGTACTTTATCCATTCCCACATGACAGGAGCATGCAATCATTTAGAATTTGAAACAAAATATGAAATTATATTATGCAACAACAATGAAATTAGTAAAATACTGAAAAAAACAACAACATATTTTTAATAAATTTTATTCTTATTTAATTCTTGTACTTTTTTGTTGCAATACTGAATTTCCACCATTCTCATAAGAGTGGAGGATGTATTGCGATTTTGAACAAAAAATCTGAAACAAAATTTAAAAGTATGAAATGTGCATGGACAGTAAAACAATAAAATAATAATAATAATAATAAAAATTAAAGTATAGAACCTTTTATGGTTGCTTTACCAGCTAAGACCACGCGCTTTTACAATACTTTACAAAGACATTTGGGCCTGGAAGCAAAAGCAAGACTTCTGAATGGTGTGACTGACAGGCGAACGGACCAGTCAGAGAAGCGCGTGGTCCGCTCGTGTCAAAGCAAACATGGAGTCAGAGCAGAAATGTTAGTGGACATGTGTATCCTTGAGTTTGTCCCGCTCTTGTCCTTGTTGTAGATGTGGATTTAGGGAGAGATGTGGAGAATTGAGCCCCTCACAGCTGCCTTCACCCTGCCTCACAGTAATAAGAGCCTTGGTGGTGCCAGGGGTGTGCCTCTGTCATCAGGGGGCTGCTTAACTGTACAAGACAAGACAGCAGAGTGCACTAACCAACATGCACTGTATCCAGACTGGAAATTTACTCTGGCACAAGCCTCTACATCTGTAACGGTTTAAAACTCTCAATGATCAGTGAGAATCTTTTTAATGGAGAGGTCTACAGCCAGTCCTCAGTTAGTAAAAGCAGTAGCAGATACTAAAATGTCAAACAGTATTTCGATACTAAGTTAGAGACTCAATGCTCAATACCAGTTAATAATAATAATAAAAAAAGCTCTTTATTTAAGCAATAGAATGTGATTGTCAATATTAAATCACTGTAGTATCTTATATGTGTGTAATCCCTCAGTGGTACAGGTAGGTTCATAGTGGTCCATGTGTGTATACTAGTCTATGTGCTCTTCTACTTGTTCTGATACAGCTCAAGATCATTCAAAAGACATTCAGGAAAGGTTCAGTTTTGCCCTGAGAATGTGACTTGCTTGAACGAATCTTGAGTTTCGATACTGCTGTAAATTCCGGACTATAGACTGCTTCTTCTTCTGCTTTTTCTCACACTTTGAACCCTGCTGCTTATAAAATGATGTGGTTAATATGTGGACAGATTTTTTATTTGGCACACTGTCCATTCATATATACAGTCTATGGTTTGGCAACACAGCAGATGCGCTCACAGCCTGAGTGAAGAAAACACCGCTGTGTGTGCGGTGACACGTGGAGCTAGTGTTCACATGAAGTTGTGACACTAGCCAGTGATAATGTCAGTGCACTCAAATAGTTTATCGCCGTGTGATAAAATAAGTTATGATGCTAAATGAACATTAGTGAGGGGGATACGTCTTATCTGTGTGTGTAAATGACGAGAAGAAACGTCTCAAACTTCAGCAGCTGGACATCCACTCATACCTGATTGATAGAACAAGCCCCGCTCCCAAGAGAGTCTGAAATCTGCTGAAATACTACAAGACACTGACATGATACAGACAGGACAGAGGACGGGGAGAGACGGGGGTGATGCGCAGAGAAAGATGCTCATTTGATTGTGTTTTGAACAGTTATTTTGCGCTTCATACACACACCCTCCTCATGGAAAACACACAAAGAAATGCAGATGATGCAGATTTTAAGTTAAAGGTGATTGATGTGGCTGTGGAAGAAAGAAACAGAGCTGCTGCACGTGAGCTCGACATCAGTGAGTCGATGGTGAGATTTTGGTGATGGCAGCGTGACGAACTGACTCGATGC